ACAAGAGTGACACAGATTATTTTTAGCTTATCTGAGCGGAAGGCTCAAGTGAGCTTTTCTGATCACATTTTGTCTGGCGTCCGTCTGTCTGTCTGTCCATCTGTCTGTCTATCCGTCTGTCTGTCTGTCTGTAAACTTTTCACATTTTCGACTTCTTCTCAAGAACCGCTGGGCCAATTTCAACCAAACTTGCCACAAAGCATCCTTGGGTGAAGGGGATTCAAGTTTGTTCAAATGAAGGGCCATGCCCTCATTCAAGGGGAGATAATTGGGAATTAAAGAAAATTTGGTGGTATGTTTTAAAAATCTTCTTCTCAAGAACCACTGTACCAGGAAAGATGAAACTTATGGGGAAACATCCTCATGTAGTGTCGATGCATGTTTGTTCAAATCATGACCCCTGGGGGTAGGGCAGGGCCACAATGGCCGACCAAAGTTTTACATAGAAATATATCGGAAAATTCTTTAAAAATCATCTTCTCAAGAATAGCAAAGCCATAATTGATCATATTTATATGGAAGCATCCTCAGGTAGTGTAGATTCAAGTTTGTTCAAATCATGACCCCCTGGGGCAGGGTGGGGCCACAATGGCCGACCAAAGTTTTACATAGAAATATATAGGAAAATTCTTTAAAAATCTTCTTCTCAAGAATAACAAAGCCATAATTAATCATATTTATATGGAAGCATGCTCAGGTAGTGTAGATTCAAATTTGTTCAAATCATGACCCCGGGGATAGGGCGGGGCCACAATGGACGACCAAAGTTTTACATAGACATATATAGGAAAATTCTTTAAAAATCATCTTTTCAAGAATAGCAAAGCCATGATTGGTCATGGAACTACTTTTGGATTTAAACTTTTCAATAATAAACCAATTTCTACTTTTTCCTAGCCATAATGCTCAGGTGAGCGATGTGGCCCATGGGCCTCTTGTTTAAAGATTGTAAGATGAATCCCAGCTGTCATATGTTTTGCAACCATGAGACTGTTGCTTGCTCTATGTGATCCTATCACATTATCTTTCAACACTGGCTTTCACAAATCACTTGTTTGGGGGGGGGGGTTAATTATACCCCCCGCAAACGAAGTTTGGGGGGGTATATAGGAATTACCTTGTCCGTCTGTCTAGCTGTCCGTCTGTCCATCCGTCTGTCTGTCTGTGCAATCGTGTCCGGTCCATATCTTTCTTACAGAGGGACATTAGAATCTACTACTCCACACAAAGATTGCCCATGACCTAAGGGTGTGTCATGACCTTGACCCAAGGTCATTTGGGGAAGTTCAAGGTCACTGGAAGAAAAATTTCATAATTCATGTCTGGTCCATATCTTTCTTATGGATAAACTTGGTAGGTTCTCATTTCATACAAAGATTGCCCATGGCCCATGGGTGTGTCATGACCTTGACCGAAGGTCATTTGGGAAGTTCAAGGTCACTGGAAGAAAAATTTCATAATTCGTGTCCTGTCCATATCTTTCTTATGGATAAACTTGGTAGGTTCTTCTTTCACACAAAGATTGCCCATGGCCCAAGGGTGTGTCATGACCTTGACCGAATGTCATTTGGGGAAGTTCAAGGTCACTGGAAGAAAAATTTCATAATTTGTGTCTGGTTCATATCTTTCTTATGGATAAACTTGGTAGGCTCTCATTTCATACAAAGATTGCCCATGGCCCATGGGTGTGTCATGACCTTGACCCAAGGTCATTTGGGGAAGTTCAAGGTCACTGGAAGAAAATTTCATAATTCGTGTCCTGTCCATATCTTTCTTATGGATAAACTTGGTAGGTTCTCATTTCACACAAAGATTGCCCATGATCAAAAGGTGTGTCATGACCTTGACCCAAGGTCATTTGGGGAAGTTCAAGGTCACTGGAAGAAAAATTTCATAATTCATGTTTGATACATATCTTTATAAGGAGGTATTTTGTCCCGTTTGGACAGTTCTAGTTTTCATTGTTTTCAAGGTAAGGAGAGACCAATGAATTTATGACCACCACAAAATGAAAAATTTCATGTGCAATTTACTAATTAACATTTTTCAACCACAAAATCAAATCCCCAAAGACCAATTTTTTTTCCTTAAACCTAAAAAATTTGACCCCAGGAAAATATGTGATTTTACAGAATCACAAGATTTAATACACAACGGATGCTTTCGATTGTGCATATTCCATACCAATACTTTTTGATGTCCAACTCTTTCAGCAGCAGTTTGCAATCCAAATCAAAAAATTTTGGTAGCATGAATATTTATTCACTTCTGCTTTGGGGCCAATCAAATATTGTGAAAGGGCCTAAGGAGATAAACTAGGAGCATTTCACACAAAGATTGCTCCATGGCCCAAAATGTGTCAAAACCTTGACCCAATATATTTGGGGAAGGGGGGGGTCACTGGAAAAAAAATGTATGTTATTCTTGAAAATCTGTCCAATCTTTTTCAGGATACAAACTAAGTGTATTAAGGTTTCTCATTTTCTAATATTTAAAAATGAATGAAATTTTCACATGATCCAATATCAGGTGTGTATCAGTGAAATTAAATTTGACCGTTTTATATGAGAGGAAGTTCAAGGTCATTATCTTTTTCCTTGACATTAAGAAAAATTTCATAACTTCATGTTTGATACATATCTTTTCAAAAGTTTAATGATTGTTCTTTTTGAAAAAACATATTGCTATATCGGGTCTATAGCATGATATTTCCAAATTTACATTTTTTCAACTTAACTGGAGAGACCAATGAATTTTCTCTGACCACCACAAAATTTTAAAATTTCATTTTCAATTTACTAATTTTAACATTTTCTTATTTTCACATATAATAAAATAGTCTTATAAAGCTACAAAATTTTTTTCAAAAACAAAAAATTTGACCCCAGAGAAAAAAATATTTGATTTTTGGCAAATCACAAGATTTAATACAATAAAGTTCTAGTTTGTTTGTCATATTTATTTGATAAATTTTGATGTCCAACTCTTATTAATCTGCACATTTAAAAATCTCTCAAAAAATTTTGTGTAAAAATTATTTATTCACTTCTTCTTTTATAATTTTGAAAGGGCCTAAAAGAAGATAAACTACGACCATTCCGCCAAAAATATAGTTCCTGCTAAAATTTTGGAAAAACGTGGCCTTTCTATTTAAAGTTGTATATATTGTGACGAGGGGGGGGGGGGGGGGTCTTTTAAAAAGTAAATATATAAGTTATTCTAAGAAATATACTGAAAATCTTTTTCAGCAAACAAACTAAGTGTATTAAGTTATAATAGCAAGGTTGCTTCTTCCAAATTTTTTTTTTTATTAGCTCTTCTGAGCCAAAGGCTCAAAGAGCGAATGCTATGGCCATTTGTGCTGTGTGCGTCGTGCGATGTGCGTTAACTTTCTAGAATATGGGCCATAACTCAAGAACCCCTTGGCCAATCATTGTCAAATTTGTCACAGGGTATCCTTGGCCCAAGGGCTACCTTTTGTACTGAAACTAGGGGAGATAATCAGGAAAATTAAACCAAAAGTACTGGTTGCTAAAAAATCTTCTCAAGAACCACCAGGCAGATTTTCACCAAAGTTACATACAAGGGTCAGGATATGTTGAAGATTAAAAATTGTTCAAGGCATGACCCTGGGGCAAAGGGCGTGGTCTCAAAGTTAACCAAAATTTACACTTAATAAAAACAGTGATATTTTGCTTGAAATGGTGAAAAATGAGTAATAAAATTGCATTTTAGCTCACCTGAGCTGAAAGCTCAACAGCAGGGCTAAAATTAATTGGGTAATTGGGTTAGCAATGTGTCCTATGGGCCTCTTGTTTAAAGAATTGCAGGCTACTAGAGAAATTCCACTTATTCTCAGCTTAACAGTGCAACACCCAATATTTTCCAAGACATAAAAATATCTCTGGTTTCTGCATGCATGTAGCAATTTTTCATGATTTCCAATTTGTGTAAAAGCAGTCAGTTGGTCATCAGATGGAAATATGCAAAAGATTCTAAGTATGCGTGCCTTGCCCAATTGTAAGGTTATCTGAGAAAACTATGAATAGTTGATGAAATGGGATATTTTAAGAATAAAAATCCAATCAAGTTGATGCAGATTTTGCTTCCAAAAAGTTTTCTGATGGGGGTGAATCTCCTCATGAACATTGCAATTGTAAAGTTATCTGTACAACGTACTAGTAATGAGTTTACTTCTAATGTGTTCCTTACATTTATTGTCTCCCTTACAGTATAGTTGCAGATGCCACACATACATAAAATGGAGAAGGAGGGGGGTAATAAATACCAATATTAAATATTGAGTGAAAAAGAATGGTAATAGATAAATCAAGTAGATGATTTTTTTAAATTGTATTTTTGTTGCTAGGCAAAACATAATTTACATCCAAAAACACTTTATGATCTAGATTATGCAAGAAAAATAAATCATTAATCTGAGATCAAGAATGACAAAAATATTATATAGTATGCAAAAAAAACTTGTTTAATATCATGAAATATGGCAATACACCAAAATAAAATGCAGCAGCCGTACTGGGCTGAGCTGGTTACCCCTGTATATATGGGAAAAGACAGCAGAATGGAACAACACAAACACATCGTAGACACTGGTTTATACCTGCTTAAAGAGGCTCAAGAGTGCCTTGACTGGTTATCCAATGGAGGTAGCATATGGTAGACAAGCAGAAATGATGATGACAAAATGAAAAGTCAGGAGCTAGACTGCATTCTTGGAGAGCAGTTACATTTATGATGGGGTTGGAAAATTATCGATTAAAAGAATTAATTTTTCAGTGTTTTGGTAATTCAAGTATGAGTGATCTTCTGCTACCAAAAAAAGCTAGATGTAGTTTATTGAATTTTTGCCTCGGACATTTATTTAAATAAGACATTTGACTCCTGAATAAATTTTCAAACTTTATAAGAACATTTTAATGTCACTAATGTTGTAGTACCCATAGCTTTTCTGTCGAACTTGCACAACCAAGAGAGAAAGCTTCTGAAGGATATTTCATTAAAACTCTTTGTAGCCAAAAAAGTTGATAATGGTGCAAGCCAATTTTAGTATTAATGAAAAAAAAATATTTTGAAATTGTTCACACATGTCTCAGAAAACTTAAGCAGTATCTGACTTTGAAAGTCAGAAATGAAGTACTGAAATGTAATTCTGTTAGTCTCTAGGTAAAAAGTCATCAATTAGCCCCATTAACCGAGTCCTGATTAATTTTCAAAGAAGTAAACCATCATGGTAGCTTTCTTCATGGTCAGGTGAGTTGTCTGGTCCGATTCCTTTTGCGTCACACTGTGTAAACTGGATTTTTTATCTGTTTTTTCTGACATTAGATATGGTGTTTGTCCTTTATAGAGAGAAGCACCACTGTCTGTGGTTGTTTTCCAGTGTCTGACATTAGATATGATGTTTGTCCTTTATAGAGAGAAGCATCACTGTCTGTGGTTGATTTCCGGTGTCTGACATTAGATATGATGTTTGTCCTTTATAGAGAGAAGCATCACTGTCTTTGAATGACTTCCGGTATCTGACGTTAGATATGGTGTTTGTCCTTTAAAGAGAGAAGCATCACTGTCTGGGGTTGTTTTCCAGTGTTTGCGGAGGATCTCTCGCGCTCTTCGTTGTGTCGAATTGCTCGAGGGAACGAGCAGAGAAATTCGTGTAAGGTATGCCGAAATGGAGCAATGATGACATAATATAACACAAAGTTAACAGAAAAATTGATGCACTGTAGAGTATTGGTGATATAAGACACCATGGCATACCTAAATCCTCTGTCGTTATTCAGAAGGGAGATAAATTTGGTGATTTCTGAGGGCGCCACTAGGATAAAGAAGAAGATGATGATCGTAACCAGGGTGATGTTAATGCGACGATGAGCTGACAAACAGGAAGTGTCGTCACGACTGTGAAGCAGGTGGAGCTGTCGACTCTGTCGGAGGGCGCGTATCAGCTGAATGTTACAGAAAAGTAAAATCGACAGAGGAATGAAATTTCCAAAAACGGCCCAAAGTAGTTTCAGAGTATACTGAAAAGAGGGCTTCATAAAAAGGCTGCTTGGCTGTACGGTGGTGTATCCCTCCTCCATGCATTCCTTAGTTGTAAAATGCCACATCGACACCAGGTTAAACGCAATAGAGATTACAGCTACTACAGATATACCTATACTAACGTTTTTGATGGAGATAAATTGTCTGGAGCGGAATGGATGACAGATGGCGAGGTATCTCAACAGTGCAGTAAGAACCGTTAACATGGTACTGCTGAAAATGAACATGCTGATGATGGCCGAGTTGTACATGTAATAGTACAGCAGGAATTCACTTTTATGGTAGACAGTCTGTGTCAGGGTTTGAAATCCAACAGGAATGGTTGTTATACAGAACATCAGGTCGGACACAGCTAGCGACACCAAACAAATCGTGGTACAATATTCAACCTCGTCTAGCATGCCTGTATTCTTCTTCTTTGTAAAGATTATGACGTTGAGAATGTTTCCCAGAATTCCAAATGAGCACACGGTAGGAATGATGATGCTATAACAGTAGTAGTTCATGGTCTGTAAGATCTCTCTCTGTTCTGGGGACACGATGGACACAAAGGAACTGTTTGGTTCTCCCATTGGTTCTCCCATCTCTAACACTGAACAGTTTAAATCTGCAGAGAAGGAGGTCTCGTTGGTCATATCTGATCGAAAATGTCAAGTCACCAGATGCAAATATTCCTTGATTTAGTTCAAATTTTTCTTGGAAGTTGGAATTAATTTGTTGACATATTTCCTTTGGTTATCATAAGATTGCACAGTCTTTAATTCTGGTTCTCCAGTTTAATCGAAAGGTAGAATCTTAAGTCCTTAGATTTTGTTTCCCTAATGGTGATCCAGCATATAGAAAGTATATAAATACTTTAGCTGTCCGTCGATTAAAGTCTCACCAGATTTCGTCCACTCTCTATCGAGGAGACTTTTCTCTATTTTCTTTTAAGACACTGATATGGAACTTTATTAGCACTAAATACAAAAGAGATGAAAACTTATTTTTGTTTCATTATAGGATCCACTTTTAGTAAATTTCCTAATGGAAGCTCAGAACATTGCTCTTGAGTCCACTGTGCCAATCTGAAAGATAAGGAATTAGGACTATGTTTATATCTTATAAACTTAAAAAAAACATTGTCACTTAGTAAAAAATAAATTCAACAACACTGATGCATTTGTAAAAGAAATGATGTAAATGGTTGATGAAAATAGTGGTTGTTTTCACAACCTTAAAAAAATCATAGTGATTGATACAAATATATCTGTGATCAACATCGTTTTTAAAATAATCATTCAGGGCATTTCAAAAGATGATTAAGGAGAATTTTGATTAAAATTAAAGTTCTTCAAAGTTTAAGGTGTGTATTAAAGAGTTTAATTACCATTAAAACATATTATGTATAGGAAGATTTGCTGTTATGGAAACTGCATGCAAATGACATTTATCTTTATTTATGTCATTGAAGGTCAATGGACCTAGCTAGTGCACTTAATTTTGTCAGTTTGGATATGACAGGTTTATATATAACTATAGGGGTTGAACAATTGTTAAGAGGAACTTAACTGACATCCTTATGGTCTTTAGTCATGATAGAGAAATGATTCCTCCCTCCCTACCTTTAGGACAACACCTAAATACATTAATATGTAGCAGAAACTTGATCCAAAGAGCCGTCTGATGTATCAGTTGACAGGCATATAGATCATTAGATCGAATGAGATGCCAAACGTCCAGTTTGATCCAACAATTTGCGGCCGTCAACAAGACATTGCTTGTCTCATACTGGAGCAGTGATTTACAGAATCGAGAGTGCTGGGTATTGTGTCTGAAAAAATCGTATCCCCATATATATTGCAATATTAAATTTTGTATTGAAATATATCACAATATAAAATTCAAAATCATTTTTGCTTTTTCCCATAACACAAACACAAATATCATGTATGATCAAGCTGCTGGGTTTTTTTTGTGGCACAAGACTTTTTGGGATCATGTTGGTGTAGTCAGATTCAGCTTTAACTTGTGTGCCATATTTTACTTGAAAAAAGGCAAGTATCTCTTTTTGTAACATTTTATAGTACAAGTATATTGAACTTCTATTGAAATACTGTGAAGAATATCTAGTTTAAGGTCTGTTTGGGTACAATCGATCCATTTGGGACAGAGTTATGCCCCTTGGACTTAGAAAAAAAATCAATTATTTTTGCGATTGGGGCATAAGTGTTTTACAAAAATCTCTTCTTTTTTTTTTGGCAAACCAATGCCCATCCCTTTTAAGGATATGTAAAACTTTACTTTCCTAAAGTGATAAATCAGGGTTGTATAGTATTTTTGTACAATTCAGATATTTTGCTCCATTTATTTATTGTTAAATTAGGATAAGAGTTTGTTTAAATCTTAACTTTAACTTGATGATGGATAAATTTAATGATATTGAAAGTTCAAGTACAAAAACCTAGGGACTTATATTATATAATTATATGAGAATGATTAATGGAGCAAGTATTTAAAAATTAATAAGTTCAAATTTATAGAGTAACTTTTTTGTTCAGAGATTAAAAAGGTTTACGTCTTACTGATGTTCCTTAAAGAACAGTTGTTTCTTATTTCAGGAGCAATGATTTAGAATGAGATAAGATAATCCAGGAAGAATTTTAGATCAATATTAAATTATTTTGGCTATATTAGTTCTTTCATTAAGATTAAATTGCAAAAAGAATGAAAATGGATTTCTTAATGATGGAAATTAACCGAGATAGAAATACAACATGCAATAAACAGTCTCCTAAACTTTGTGTCTATTGCACTATTTTACCTGATAACAGAAATCTGTAAACACATGTAATGCAAGTAAATCATATTTTTTTCATTTTTTTTTTACAAGCATAATATATCATTTTCTCAGTACAATTTCTCAATGTTCACTTTTTGATTCAATATTTAATTGTACTCATTAGCCAATAGGATACATTATTCTGGAAAAGAACAAATTATTTGCTAAAAATGTGATTCATAATAATTGTAATGAGTAATTATAAAGGAGACTAAATAACTTGATGTCGGTAATTGCACTTGAATGTTTGGAACCATTATCTGTTTGGTTGATTCCAATCTTCGTGAATTTTTATCTGACATAAAATAAATCGCTAAACACTTAAGTGTTATCATTAAATAAAATGTTGAATAATGTACAAACAATGCAATAATGAAAGGAAAATATTTATTTGGATTTTTTTTTGTCAAAGCCATTTGTAAATGATTATCTCAAAATTATAACCCACTTTATAATAGGAAACCTGGACTAAATGACATGCATGATTTACCAACAATTTCATGTCAAACCTCAACTTGAACCAAATGACTCGATGGTTAACAGTACATTTCATGTTTCAAAAAACTGAAATATCGGATATGTACCCCAGGGAAATGTGTTCATGTGACAGTGCAAGATAATGAAATTCCGGGAGTGGGCCTGCCACCTTTCCAAGTATCACTCTCGGTAAAAATGTAACCTGTTCCTTTTCTAACCTGGGTTAATATGCTAATTTCACTACTTAAATTAATTTTTTTAAAATTTTGTAGAGAAGAGAAATTGTTAGAAGCTGATCATCGAATGTAAAACAAGGAAGTAGAAGCCCTATTGTTTAATAAAGTGTATATGCTTCGAAACATAGAAAATAATGTCTAAACTGGGTCTCACAAAATTTCATGAATACCTAAATGGAGAAAGACAACATATTTTCATATAAATTAGGAGATTATATTTATTCAGAATGAACGAAACACTGTCTTTGATCAGTAAAAGTGTCTAATATAAACAATTATTCCTCCCTTTCATGTTCTTGAAGGGTGCTTATTTTTTTCTCTGAGCTTACCCCCCTTTCATCTATTATTCATTTCTTGACAGAAAAATACTGAAGATAAAACAGGAGATTTGGAAGTGGATGTTTATTTTTATTCTGTTGTACTCTTTACATGGACCATAAACTGTAATATTGTTATTTGCAAGGCGGCAAATAAAGAAAAATGTGTTAAGGGGGGTCTTGTGATTTTTCATATTTTATGTAAACCATCATGCAAGCCGACACTGAGACTGCCTGTAGTTTATCAACAATGTTGCATGTTGGGAATCATTTATGTAGATGCATTATGATGTATCTAAAACACACTGGGTCTTTTAAGAGAACCATTTCCTGCAAACACAGTACATGTTTCATGTTTTCAGTACTGATTTGTTGTTTATATGGTAAAAGATGGCAACAAAGTTATATCCTTTTAAATCCTTTTAGCAGTATTTTCTCTTTAAGAACAGGGAGATCAAATAATGCTTCAGATGGCTTTCCATAATCACCATGGTTATTGCTCCGAACATGTGAACTATTTTTTTGTCATTTATACATGATAGTCAGGCAGCTGTCCATGGAAGGTTTCTTCATGTCCGTTTTAATTCAGAGTTCCATGCAGTGAAATTCTTAGAATGTGATTAATGTTCAAGGACCAATGAAGACAGATCTCCTCAGGAGGCATGATTGACCTTGTAGGGAATGATTCTTGTTTTGTACGATTAATGACCTTAGAGCACAACGAATAGCTAAAAGATAAAGGAAGGTTAAATGGCCCTCATAATGCCCAAAACACCATCCTTATCTATCAGAAATTACATCTTCCCCAATTGCATGTATAGCTTCTATTAGGAGCAATTATTCCAATTTCGGCTTTTTAACATTTTTCAGTAAACTTGTGCAATTGGTAGGGGCTACTATCTGGTAGTTGATATTTATACCCCTCTCCGAAGGAGAGGGGGGTATACTGTTTTACCCTTGTGTGTCTGTCTGTCTAGCTGTCTGTCTGTCCGTCTGTCTGTGTGTCTGTCCTTAACAAAGTTTCGTCGCAGTTTCCTCAGCAACTACTCCTCACAGATGCTTGAAATTTTAACACAATCTTCTCTTAGGCATGCCATACGGTGGGATACATTTTTGTTAAAATCCAATGTCAACTTCCTCTTTGTCTGTGTGTCTGTGTGTTTCATACATAAAAAATTTTCGTCGCTCTTTTCTCAGCAACTACTCATTGTAGATGCTTCAAATTTTAACACAATCTTCTCTAAGGCATGCCATACGGTGGGATACATTTTTGTTAAAATCCAAAATCAACTTCCTGTTTGTCTGTGCATCTGTCCATTTCATATATAACAAATTTTCGTCACAGTTTTCTCAGCAACTATTCATTGTAGATGCTTCAAATTTTAACACAATCTTCTCTAAGGCATGCCATACGGTGGGATATATTTTTGTTCAAATCCAATGTCAACTTCCTGTTTGTCTGCGCGTATGTCCGTTTCATACATAACAAATTTTTGTCGCAGTTTTCTCATGAACTATTCATTGTAGATACTTGAAATTTTAGTATACTCTTTGTTGAAGCATGCCATATGGTGGGATTAATTTTGATGTCAACTTCATATTTTTAGCTCTACTGGTCAGAGACCAGAAGAGCTTATGCGATAGTAAGGTGTCCGTCGTCCGTCCGTCTGTCTGTCTGTCTGTCCGTCTGTCTGTAAACAATTTTTCAAAACGCTACTCCTCCTACAGTTTTGGTCCGATTTTAATATAACTTGGCACACAAGTAGACTACACTAAGATACATAAAATAGTGCATCGGTTTTTGATTTCGATGAACGGTGTTGCCATGGTTACTAAAAATAGAATTTTCTGTGAAATTCCTTTAAAACGCTACTCCTCCTACAGTTTTGATCTGATTTCAATATTACTTGGCACACAAGTAGACTAGACTAAGATACATAAAATGGTGCATCAGTTTTTGATTTCAATGAACTGTGTTGCCATGGTTACTAAAAATAGAATTTTCTGTGAAGTTCCTTTAAAATACTACTCCTTCTACAGTTTTGGTTAGATTTCAATATTACTTGGCACACAAGTAGACTACACTAAGATACATAGAATAGTGCATCGGTTTTTGATTTCAATGAACGGTGTTGTCATGGTTACTAAAAATAGAATTTTCTGTGGAATTCCTTTAAAACGCTACTCCTCCTACAGTTTTGGTCTGATTTCAATATTACTTAGCACACAAGTAGACTAGACTAAGATACATAAAATAATGGATCGGTTTTTGATTTCGATGAACGGTGTTGCCATGGTTACTTAAAATAGAATTTTCTGTGAAATTCCTTTAAAACGCTACTTCTCCTACAGTTTTGATCTGATTTCAATATTACTTGGCACACAAGTAGACTAGACTAAGATACATAAAATGGTGCATCGGTTTTTTATTTCGATGAACGGTGTTGCCATGGTTACTAAAAATAGAATTTTCTGTGAAATTCCTTTAAAATGCTACTTCTCCTACAGTTTTGATCTGATTTCAATATAACCTGGCACACAAGTAGACTACACTAAGATACATAGAATAGCGCCTCGGTTTTTGATTTCGATGAACGGTGTTGCCATGGTTACTAAAAATAGAATTTTCTGTTAAATTCCTTTAAAATGCTACTCCTTCTACAGTTTTGGTTAGAATTCAATATTACTTGGCACACAAGTAGACTACACTAAGATACATAGAATAGTGCATCGGTTTTTGATTTCGATGAACGGTGTTGCCATGGTTACTAAAAATAGAAATGTCTGTGAAATTCCTTTAAAACGCTACTTCTCCTACAGTTTTGATCTGATTTCAATACAACCTGGCACACAAGTAGACTACACTAAGATACATAGAATAGCGCCTCGGTTTTTGATTTCGATGAACGGTGTTGCCATGGTTACTAAAAATAGAATTTTCTGTGAAATCCCTTTAAAACAC